GGGGGATGCCGTACTACTACTACTACTACTACTACTACTACTACTACTGCTACTGCTACTGCTACTGCTACTGCTACTGCTACTGCTACTGCTACTGCTACTGCTACTGCTACTGCTACTGCTACCACTGCTCGAACTGAAATAGATTGTGCATCTGGGTCCCGCGCATTTGTGTCACTTGGAGGAGAGAGTTTGTAGAATGCAACAGATCAGTCGCTGTAGGAGACACCGTCGAAAGAATGAGGGTCCTGCAACACATGACACCTCCGAAAGCTAGATCCTGCTGTTAAGACACAGGACTGTTTGGATCGGCTTGCGTGAGGCTTACGCACTGTCAAAGGTCCTGTGCTCCGGATCTGTGAAGCACGAACGCAACACCTCCCGAGCTGAGACATGTGACCAAGGAGCCAAAAACGAGGCGACGGTGCGGGACTTGAGCCCAGGCCTGGGTGAGTCGGCTTGCTCGATACGGTGCTCGAGCAGTGCGCTGGCGTGCAATGCGCGCATGGGCCCGGAAGCAGTCCTGCGAAGATCGGCGAAGGGGCAGACGCTATCAGACGCTGCTTGCAGACCCATGGAGACGCATGCTCACAACATGTCCTCCGTCTACTCATAGCTACTCGACAACACATGCTAAGGAGATCACGGCTAATCTCGAATGCTGGAATGCCTTCCGCGGGCTGGCCATGAGGGAAGTGTGCCTACTTTGCGTGACTGTGGACGGTTCATGACTGGTATTTTCACACCGGGGCTTCGCGAGGTGCAAGAGAAAACTGTCAACTTGCACCTGCTGCAGCACTTGACACACTCTGATCTTCTTGTTGCACAGGCCTTGTAAGTGGCCAAATGTTGCTGGAGGTCAGACTTTACCAGACATCCCTGTGCACTCGACATCCCGGCACATCGAATCGTGTGCTCCCGACCGCGCAACTGGGATGCTGTCCAACTGCCTCTAGTTTCATGTTCGGCAGTTTGCAGTGCTGGCGTCGGCATCAAGTGTTAGACTAAGGGTTTAGGGTCAAGGGTTCAAGCAGGCACGAGTGCAGCAAGCAGCTGATGGGCTGTATGAGCCGATGTCGCGTCTGGCATACTTGCAGTTACCATTTACCGACAGGTCCCACGCGAGGCCCTTGAAACCAGAGGAGTCGGATAGGCGCCCGTTGCCGCTCACCGGGGGGCAGTATGTGGTGACATGGGCTTTCAAAGTTGCAGAGTTTAAATACGAAACATCTCGGAGAGTTGTTCGGTTTCCGCTGACGAGCGGTTTCAGGCCGGCAGGAAAGGGCGCTCTGGGCTCTGGATCACCCGCGGGGGGGCCCTGCAAAAGCGAGCCAATTAGTCGAAAAGAAAGTGTCGTGAAGCTGGTCATCCAGGCCGCCCAGGCCTTCAATGCCATCAAGGATTTGTTGATTTCTGCGAAGTCGCGGTGCTGCTGGGCGGTCATGTAGCGTGTCTCATAATTACGCTCGGAGCCAGCTAAATCCACGAAGCGGATTGTCCCAAGACCATCAATGTCAAGGACGCATATGGCCTCGGACACACAATGACTCTCTCCACTGCATCGCAAGCTGTGAAACGGTGGACACAAACTACTACAAAAACAAGCTTCTGGGTAAGAAAGTCGCATGGCTGCGTGAAGACAACGAATTTCTCTCTGTTGCTTCCGATCGCCGAAGCTGTAGTGCCTCCTGTAAGAGTTCAGGAAGTTCGGAAGAGATCGCGGTGAGCTTCGCAGCACCCCTGGCAGCTGTTGGAGGCTTCAGGTCGAAACAAAAAAAGCACTCTCTGAAAGTCCTGACATGCACCCGCTCTTCGCCATCTGTTCGCAAAATAACTTCTTTTCGTTGCTGAAGCAGATCGAAGCCTCAAGCTGTCCGCGGCGATGTCAAACGATAACCTTCCTAGAACTGACATCGGTAATGAGGCACATTTCTTGCCAAGGATTTCGAAGAACGTCACCGAAATCGTGCGACCGTCCAGATCGCACCCAATCCGCTGCCAGCACGCATTGAATGTGTGGGTCTTGCCGGTCCCAGTCTGACCGTAGAAAATGATGGTAGCCTGTGGGCAGCCGGTGTGGTGTTGGACCAGTGGAGGAGGGCCCACAACAAAAGACCTCAAACCCTCCGACTCACAGGCCATACAAGCCTCGCTTCCATTCAGAGATGTCACCAAAGGCCGTACCTTTCCAACATGAGTTGCCCTAGGCCACCGCGCCCGCTCTCATTTTACTGAAATCCAGCTGGCTGCAGTGCACATGAAGCGTTGCAACGGCTGCATGACAGCTGTCAAGCCAAAGGCTTTGCCGAGCCGAATCTGCATCTGTTGCTGCAAAACACTGATCAAGACACATGTGCACGCTGCTAGTCACGCTGTCACCCTGGTCAAGCGACCCCATAGATTGCCCGAGTTGTCAAGTTAAGCTCAGCTGAGCATCTGCATCGTGGTAAAACTCTGCATCCGAGACATCGGACCCGTATGCACGATCCTTGGTTCCACTGCTGCCGTGGAAAGTCAGCACCACGACGACAAACAAGGCGCAAACATGGCTAAAATTCAAGACTCTAGACTCTAGACATGGCGCCAGCGTAAATTTCTTGTGTGTCATCTCCAAGCGCCGACCAGTTCTGTGTAGTCGTCCATCATGGCACACAACCCGGGCATCTCGCCTCCACAGCATCAATGTGACTGACCGTTTCCTTCATTCAAGAACAGGCAGTGGAAACTCGGACCTGGAAACCGAAACGCAATCCCACTCACCAGATGCCACTTCAAATTTCAACAGTGGTCTCTTCCGAGCAATACACCTAAGCTGAACAAAACGTTTGCTGCACTCCCGGATGCAAACACGATATTGAAACTAACGGCCGCGACAAGGCACACCATGCTCGGGCTGGGCTCTGGCAATGGCTTGCGCCAACCAGCTAGAAAGGCCACGGCTTGGCCTTGCCCGAAGCAGAAATCGGCCACGCGCTCCCAAATGTTCAGGTCCAAATCCTCGAGTCGCAGATGCGCAGACAGATTCAAACACGTTCGCTCATTGACGTGCGAGCCAGAAACTCTCAGCGGCGTTGACTGGCAGGAGAAGTGCGCATCAAGCAAGAATTTCAATCCTTGAACGAAGTCTTCATTCACATTACACGCAGATGCATTATGCTGCACCACAGTAACTATCTCATTCAAGCGCAAAATCAGGAAGCCCGCGCAGAAGACCGCAGCACTGTTGGTCCATGCTCTGCCGCAGAACAGCAAAGTGGCGGAACAAGTCGGCTTGTGCAACTCGCAGGCGATTGCGGTGAATCAAATACCTCTCAATTGGAGAAAGACTGACTTGCACCGGCGCAAACACAAGAATCCGTGTCCACAGTGCACCACCGATAGCCCCGAGTGCAGCAGGTCGAACTGCATGTACCAACTGCTCAGTTTTGCAACCTTTTATTGCACACGCTGCTTCTGTCATCTGTCAACACTTAGCACATGCCACAAAAAAGTGGACAGAGTCGTCTCGAACAAGTCATGTTTTCTGTGTACTTTTGTTGCTACTTGGAGCTTCGTATTTCAATCCCTGGTCGTGCATGTATCGTCGCGGTCCTGTGCCACACGCACCATGCATCCCTGCGCCGTGCCTAGCAGCAGTTAATTCGACAGTCAACATGCAACTCCGAACTTGCGATTGCGGCAATGCGAATCATACTAGTATACTAGTATTTATCTCGTGTGGCCTTGGTTCAGCCAGCTACGCTGTGTTTACTTCCTTTCCAGTACCTTCGCGATAGACATGTGTATACCTGACATCCGTTTCAAACACAGGGCGGACAGACCGTGCGTAAGCCTCCCCGTAAAGTCTGGCCACAAGCAGAAGGAGAAACAGAAACGTGCCAAGCCCAAGTTCAACGGATGGGACTGCAAAGAATGCAATTTCTTCCAAATGTGCACCACGAGTCTTTGCTTGCAGGCTTGGACTGTTCTTCCGCTTGTAACGGATTTGAACCTGGGCCCATCCGTGTGTGTTGGGTGTGTTTGCGCTCCTTTCTCACACCTTGCGCGACATCTTAAGGTTTTGTTCAAGGACTTTTGCGCCTGTAGTAAAGTGCCACAGCTCCGCAGGTTTGAAAAAAACACTATGCAATCACAATGCTCAAGAAGCCTCAAGGACTTAAAAGGTGTCCCAGCTCGCAGTTTAGCTCGTAGTTTCTCGGCATGGATCACGCGATGACACCGCCTGCGAAAGGATTGAAAAGAGCGACGAGATCACCGTTGCATGAAATGGATGGAATAGATCG